GACTCTGGACAGTGGATATGATGACCAATGAGACCATCAACAGTCAAAGAAATCTTTCTCAGTGTTCTGCAAAATTCTACTGTTACTCACTGACTTGAGATAAAATCTACTCAGCTGCTTTGAGAAAAGCTTCTAACAGGTTCCTCCGATAACAGGATGGCTAGCTGGTTAAAGTGATCATGCAACCCAGAAACCTTTCTGCTTCTGCTTTGATTCAGCAGGGACAGGTAGAGTTTTTCCTATTCTGATCAAATTACTGCTTGTGGCAGTAATTTGATCAGAATGTGATGCAGTATAAATAACAATGAGAAGCTAGGATACTATTATTCAACCTGTAATTTAATATTTTGTATTTTCCAGAATTATATTAATAAAATTATAAAGTTAACCAGCGACACTGAGAACAACACTCAGTTGAATTATGACAGTGACTCTCAAATTTATTTTAAAGGAGACAACTAGGCTACAGAAACAAGGACTGTAAGGGTTCCTGGGTCGTTGACCCAATGGTTTCTGTTTTGTACCCTTTATTTGTGTTCTCTTCTTAGTTTATTTTTGTGAAGGTTGTATGTTTTCCCCAGTTCTTCTTGGTGTTTGATTATGTAGTTCTCAGGTTTTGGTTTCCTTATTCCCTCCATTCTTTGTCCAGTCAGTGTCTGTGTCTGCCCTGTTCCCACGTCTCTGTTGCAGTGCCTGCTTGTGAGTCTGTGTCTATAAGTTCAGTCAGTGTTTCCTGTTTTACTTTGATAGTCTCATGTTAATGTGTCTGGTTTTTCTTCCTTTGTGTCGTTAGGCCTGATTTGCCCCAGCTGTGTTTCCCTCCTGTTTTCCATTCCCTGATTGCTCCCTCTGCGTATTTAAGCCCTGTGTTTCTCTGTGTCCGTGTTGTGATCTACCCCCTGTCCGTATGCCCGCCTGCGCTTAGGGTCCTCCATATTACCACTCCTGCCTGCACACAGCCTTCACATGACAGACAAATGCTTACAGTTCTAGAGGTCATGGCACAAAGTTCACAAATCTAAGTTTATTGTCAGGTTGCGAGTCACACATGTGAAGGCAATGCAGACAACTCAGTCAAGGGGAAGGTAAAAGTTGGAGCAAAGATGGATTCATTCACCAAGAAAGTAAATCTCACAAACAAAACCAACATCATTGGCAACAAGAGAAGTTACAAAGATACATACATACAGATATCTCTAACTATAATAATGAGTGAATACTGAATTTCCCAAAAGCCCACAGTATGAACTCCAACTAATAAATCACTAAGATAACATAAGAAGGAAATTCAATATGTCCACTGGATCTGCTGTTTGAAAACAGGTAGCTATAAAAAAAAAGAAAAAGCTTCAAAACTTCAGAAAGAATGACAAATTTTACAGGAACCTCACATATAATCCCCCAAAATTACAACTTTTGAACTTGTTGCTATCTGTAACATCATGCTAGGAAGTCTAGACATGCAGAGGAACTCTAAGAAAAAGTTTAAAACATTGGTACAATGATACAGAGCGGCACTTATGCGTTTCTATATGAAAAGATCCTGACTTTCATTCAATGCAGGAAAAAATTTAAATTTAAATTCGAAGCCAAAATCTTAACACCATCGCAAGTGTTTTAATTCCTTCAACCAGCAAAGGTAATGGATTAAACACCTCAGCTACATCTCTGGCTTCATTTTCATATCTCGACTGAATCTTGCGTCTTTCTTCCTCCACTTCTCTCTCACACTTCTCCTTTAACCTCTTCATCTCCCATTCTCTCTCCTCTCTCTCCCTCCTCCTCTCCACCTGTCTCTCCTTCCTCTCCCTCTCTCTCTCAGCCTGGAGTTCTTTGTTGTATTTCTGCATCTCTTTCTCATATCTTTCCCGTATTTCTCTCTCCATTTTCTCTTTTTCTTTCTGTGTTTCTTCTTCTTTCTCTCTCAGGATGCGTTGTTTCTCCTCTTCAATCGCCCTCTCAGCCTCTTGGAACATCTCGGTGGTGTAATGGCTTCCTCCGTTCTTCTGAACTATCTCTCTGATCTTCTGGAGCAGCTCAGTGACCTGAGAGCGCTCCTTCAGTTTATTGTTGAAGACGTGGTACTGACCGTTACATCTGGCCACGAGTTCCTGCAGGTCTGAGCTTCCTTGCAAGAACTCTTCAATAGTGGTGCCTTCAAGTTGGTCTCCATGGGTAAAGAGAACCATGCTGTATTTGTCTGCTGCGTGGCCAAAGATTTTTTGAATCTTTTGCACCGTCTGTTTTTCCTCTTCAGTGAATCTGCCCAGTTTGACGACCACCAAGAAGATATGGGGTCCTGGAGAAGCATAGGAGATGCACTGGCATATATTTTTCTGAGTTTCCTCTTCATCAACCCTGGTATCAAAAAGGCCTGGGGTATCAATGACAGCAACGCGGTGTCCATCCACTTTAGCTTTTGCTTTAGAAGATTCTACAGTCAAAGATTTGGCACCGAACTTGGATTCAAAGCACTCACGGCCCAGAATAGTGTTTCCAGTAGCACTCTTTCCAGTTCCAGTCTTCCCCACCATCACAATCCTCATCTCATCATTTGTGTAAGAGGAGCCAGGGACAACAACGTCACATTAGAAAGGTATAGTAATCATCCACAAATGATAAAGGATTCAGAAAGTTTATTCATGCAGGCCCATATGACAGAGAATGTGCATCTTCTTTTTGTTTTCATATTTTAATTTATATTTAATTGTGTTGTGGTTTGCAGTGTTTTGTGTTGTTTCACTTTAAATTTGTTTAAAAGGAAAAAGCTGAAAATTTAAATAGTTAAAAGTTGAAATGTGAATAGTTGGTTTTTGTATTATATGATTTATTTATTACATTTTATGTGGAGTGAATAAATAAAAGTATATTTACGGTGGCCCACATTTTTATATTTAATTCAGGTATTTTAAGGGAGGCTGGCGGCACTGAAAGGCTCCCCTACCTGTCCAGAAAGCAGAAAGGTTTAGAAACGAAATGTTTCTTTGACTGTTGATGGTCTCATTAGTCATCCTACCCTATCCAGAGTCGTAAAACAACAAAAAATGTAAAAAAAAAACCCCAAAAAAACCCAAACAAACAAAAAAAACAACAACTTTTTATTTTATACATTTAAGACTCAAATTCAAATAATAGTTTGCTTAAAGCCCTAGAAACACTATTTACAATGTCTAATAGTGCCAACAAGTTTACAGTCAATACATATATACTGTTGTTTTAAGGTAACGACTAGCAGATGAAGTAGCAGAAGTAGAAAGGGGCCCTGAAAGACACCAACGCTGGTGCAGGAAGGCCAACAGCCAAAACAAAGATGGATCATAGAAATATTCTCCTCATACTTCATAGAAAAAAATATGAGAGGTACGAGTTGGATGGTGTTGATAAAATACCATTACATACTGTACAAGCATGGTGTTCACACAGGGAAGGAAACAACCCAATTCAATGTTTGACAGTAAGGCAGTAAGGTAAGTGCAATACTTACTTAAAACCACCAAGGCATCCAGAAGACTTTGGGAAAGAGCGAATAAGAGAGAAAGAGAAACAAGAGAAAGTGTGTGTGTGTTTGTTAGTGTATATGTGTGTGAGGGAGAGCTATAGAGCGGCAACCAGTCCAGGATGTATCCTGCTATTTGTTCTATGACAGCTGAGATAAACCCTCTAATTGTTAGTTCTTTCACATATTGTCATAACACTTATTTATTACAACTGGCCAAAAAGACTCACGACTGATGTTCTTTCTATAATAAATGATTTAAATTGTTTCTTTAAAGAGTACTGAACTGGTGGCAGTACAGCCATTATGGAGTGATACAGAGGAATGCCCATAGGTTAATGACAGATTTTGTGTTTAAAAAAACAGGATTACAATGTAGAAAACATTTTTTAAAGAATCAGGTAAATATTAGTGCATTACACTCTTAACTTCACATTCAGCTGATATCTCTATACCTATATTCATGAATTAATTCATTCTAAATTACCCCTTTATTCAATGTCAACAAGGTGAGCAGTGTCTCTCGTTGACCGACAAACTGCTACATACATGAAACACAGTAGTTGGAACGGTGGTGTCCATGTATTCAACACTGCAGGCGAACATGGTGGTTTCCTCACACCGGCTCCAGCTCCTGTGTATTTTTAATGGATTTATTCTAAGTTGATGAGAGTGCATCAATTTCACAGGACGTAATTACACATTAATCTATGACAGACTGTATCTTTAAAATAAAAATGTGTATAACAACACCAATGACAACAAACCCATGAAAATGATAGTAGTGCAAGTGATATGACACTGCAACAATTTTAGAAACGATTACAAAATTAATGTAAAGGACCAGACCTGAATATAACAACCACAAAGTGAAAGATACTGGCAGCAGCCAGTGCTACCTCTCAGCCTCTTAGTAGATGCACTGAGGGTATAAATTATAAAATCATCTGAGAGGTAAGTACTTAATTTTCCAGTAAAATATAATGCATTTCAGAACCTCTGTTCCCTTAATGTCATAGCTACTGTGTCCCCATTAAAAATGGAAAAGTTAGTGTGGACATTTGTGCATGATATTTTACAAGACAGAAAGATAGCACCATGACTTCATCAATGATAGTTTGTTTTCTTGATGCATTACACAAACTGTACCTGAGCAGTGATGCTGGTAAGTGACAGGGCCATCTTGTTCACACTGACATACTTGAGTGCCTATGAGACTGGGACCACTTAGTGACTTGAAAAAAAGGGCATAGTGCTTGGCTTTGCTTAACACAAAAGGAAAAACCTGCTGCTAATGCCTCTGCACAAAATGGCCTAAAATAACAACAACAACAACAAAAAATGCCACAATCGCTTCCAGTGCTTATAGTTTGTGACAGGTGGGGATACTTTCAGTGCAACTCTTCAATACCTCCATTTTGTTCAATGTCATTGGATCCAAAAAATTAATGATAATAAACAATTTCCAATTCTTTTTCTATTTCTATTTGTATATGTAAACTTAAAGTCACATACAAACAAACTGTATTTATAAAGTTTGAACTTGAAGTGCAGTGAAAATTTGGCATGTGAACAGTTGAAGTGAAACACAGAGCAGAGCGCCATCAGTTGGAAACAACAAAAGTTAGTAAAGTGTCATAAAGGACAGTAATAAAACACCACTTCTTCACCTTTGTCCCTCTAAAACAAAAAGATCAAATTCTTCATAGTCAGTCCAAGATTATTTATGAAATTATTGACTGATCATTTTGTCCTCAAGTTTGGTTGGTTTCAACAGATCAATAAAAGTGGAAAATTATAAATATTGCATTTAATCATACTGGCTATCCACACAAAAACAGATACTGTCGCAAAACATAACAAAGAAAAGAGAAGAAAGCTGTAAACTGGCTAAAACTCACAGTAGCTCACAATGAGATGGCAAAGAAAAGCATTCAATATAAATTTGACTGATTCAGTGTGTCCAGAGTTTATTCAGTGTTAGACTCCAAGTGGACAGAAATGTTTTGGTTCACAAAAAGGTTTACTTTAATTTCACGAGGTGCTAGTTTCATTTGTGGAAACCTGCATTCATGTGAGATGAAGAAGTCACTTGGATGAGCGTATGAAATGTTTCTCCCACTGAAAACACTACGTTCAGATGAATAGAATCAACTTTCTGGGGTTTAATTTTATCATTATATCTTTACTTCAAGTTCAGCTCAGCATAAATGCACAAAATCCATGAAAGGAATACTTGTCCAGGGGACGTGTCAGAGCGTTGGTAACGAGGTTGCCTAGCCGCGACAGCTGTGTTTGGTAATTCATGTACTGTGGGCAGAGCGTCCCATGTCGCACCTCGCTAGTGGCCCCAGGGCAATGGGCATGTACTGCCATACCTTAAGTTGGAATGGTGAATGGAAGTACCTTGGTCTAGACAGTAAAGCTTAATCGTTACCATTGTAAAGTAAAACTAAATATATAAAGGTACAATAATGTTTTTATATTTAAGCAGAAAACAAAGCAAGACAAGAGCATTAGTTCAATGGGGAAAACAAAGTCATCTGATAATCAAACATAAGTGTTGCTACTTCTTTATTTATTTACTAATACATATTTTAATGTTAACAGACTGGTAAAAAAACAGTAGTGGCAGTGTGAGACTATACTATACTACTATATTACTCTACTACCAACACTTCAGTGATGTTCATGTTTTTATTTGAACAGGCTAAAAATTGCCCTTTCTAGTTGTTGGATTTCTTTAAAAATCCTCCTGCCAGCATCGGCGACTACTTCACCGATTCGTATCAGATGATATAATGGATTAAACTTCTCAGCTTCATCTCTGGCCTTGTTTTCACACCAGGACTGAATCTTGCGTCTTTCTTCCTCCAGTTCTCTCTCACACTTCTCCTTTAACTTCTTCATCTCCCATTCTTTCTCCTCCCTCTCCCTCTTCCTCTCCTCCTCTCTCTCCTTCCTCTCCTCCTCTCTCTCAGCCTGGAGTTGTTCGTTGTATTTCTGCATCTCTTTCTCATATCTTTCCCGTATTTCTCTCTCAACCTTCTCCTTTTCTTTCGTATTTCTTCTTCTTTCTCTCTCAGGATGCGTTGTTTCTCCTCTTCAATCGCCCTCTCAGCCTCTTGGAACATCTCGTTGGTGTAGTGGCTTCCTCCGTTCTTCTGGACTATCTCTCTGATCTTCTGGATCAGCTCAGTGACCTGAGAGCGCTCCTTCAGTTTATTATTGAAGACGTGGTACTGACCGTTACATCTGGCCACGAGTTCCTGCAGGTCTGAGCTTCCTTCTAAGAACTCTTCAATAGTGGTGCCTTCAAGTTGGTCTCCATGGGTAAAGAGAACCATGCTGTATTTGTCTGCTGCGTGGCCAAAGATTTTTTGAATCTTTTGCACCGTCTGTTTTTCCTCTTCAGTGAATCTGCCCAGTCTGATGACCACCAAGAAGATATGGGGTCCTGGAGAAGCATAGGAGATGCACTGGCATACATCTTTAGTTGTTCTCTCCTTATCAAACCTGGTATCAAACAGCCCCGGGGTGTCAATGACAGCAACTTGCTGCCCATCCACTTTAACTTTGCCTTTTGAACACTCTACAGTCATAGATTTGGCACTGAACTTGGATTCAAAGCACTCAGACCCAGAATAGTGTTTCCAGTAGCACTCTTTCCAGTTCCAGTCTTTCCCACTATCACAATCCTGACTCATCATCTTTGTCCTGCCAGAATCTGTGAGAAAGATGAAAAATGAATAAGGATCTAATCAGGCTTAAATACATCTTTTTTCTGAACATCAACTAAGTTTTGGATGATTTTTCTAGATTCAAAAATTTGCAGATAGAAGATGTGTCACAACTATTAATTCTGTGAGGTCATAGTCATGATCAATGATATGTGTGTGTTATTAATTATTATTTAGATTTTTTTTTTTTTTAAATTTACCTCACATACATATAAAATCCTAAATCATAGTGTTCGGATTGGAGTTTGAAGCTAGGATTAGAGGGTTAAAAGTTATTTCAAAGTGATTTTCAAAGCTACAGCTACAGCTGCTTTCTACAAAAGACTTTCTCCACAGAGCTTGTCTAACATTTAATTATTCAAGCCTGATCACTGCTGTAACATTAAAAAAATACCACTAACATGAAGACTTACCAAGTTTGCTGTCCATGTTTGGGATGAAATTGTTCCTGTCCTAAATAGTGCAGTGCAGATACTTCTTCTGTGTCAAGTTAGAAGTGAAAGTCAGAGGCTGTGCTGCACCTCCTTAAATAGAGCATATCAACCAATCCACACCCACAAATAACTGCATTGGACACAGAGGGAAAGTAAAATTTTTGTGGCATTTTTCCAGTTATAAGGGTTTTTTATAAAGCCGGATAACCATGTTGATTTCTTGAATTCTTTGCACCATGTGCATTTCCTCTTCAGTGTATCTGCTCATCTGAGAGCATACAAGAAGATACAGGGTCATGGAGAAGCTCAGGAGATGCACAGGGATGCACCTTTGTGATTTTATCCAACGAAGGCCTGGTATCAGACAGATATGGCTTTCCCTTTAGAACAGGCTACAGTCATAGACTTAGCACTTCACTTCGATTCAAAGCACTGATGTGCTAGAATGATGTTTCAGTCAGTCTGATTAGTCCTGTGCATTACAAGCACACCTCTGCATGTGTATATAGCAGCTAAAGCAGCTTTAGTGACTGTTTATATTTATTTATTTAGATGTTATTGGCTCTATTCATAAACAAATATAAGTGTGAAAACAGTAATGTGCTCTGCTTACTTTCAAAGACTAATGAAAAACTCAACAAAAATTGGATCTGAGTGAACATCCATTTTCTGTTTCAGTTTCTCAGCGTGCATTGTTTTATGTCCTGGTTATTTAATAGAGTATGGTACTGAGGACCACAGCTCCGAGGTACAGGAAGTCACTACATTCACTCTTCAGACTTTGCTTTCTGCTCTCCAAAATTCATTTACAAGAAACTGGCAGCATTATTTCTGAATAGCAAGTACTGCTGCACAGATTAATATAGATTTCTTTTGCTTTCAGTTTCGTTTTTTGATTTGTGCACCAAACTTCCATGATGTCCCCCCTCCCATCCCCATTTACAAGAAACAGCAACACTTTTTTAGAAGTACAGACACTACAGCACAAAGCAGTTCTTACATGATGTTTTCACTATGTTTCACATCTGCGGCTTCTTATCGAAAATGTCAGTGCAACAGGATATATTAAAATGTGTTCACATTTACATGTCCTCAAGCTGCAAATCTTTGATTATTTTTCATTAATAAACTGAATATTTTCAGTTCTATTTATAATGTGTGAGATCTGGCACACAATTTACATCAGTTCTTGCAAAATGTTATCTTATAACCTCAAAACATTTTTAATAAAAAATAATTACTTTTAATAACAATATTCAGGAAAAAAAAGATTTATTCATAGTAGTAATGCAGACAGATGCTGATTTCTGAATACATTTGAGTCCATGTCCGGTTTTAGAAAAATCCCCTTATAACGGAAATAACGGGGCCAAACTATAATTTCACTTTCACTCTGTGTTCAGTAGAGTCATTGTAGGTGTGGTTTGGCTCATGCTGCCTGTTGAAGAAGCTGCAGCACAGTCTTTGCCTTTCACTGCTTACTCCACTTCTGTTGGCTACACAACACTGTTTAGACTGAACATCGACAGAAGCAATTACAACCCAAGCATGGCTGGCAAGTTTCGGTAAGTCATCATGTGGTATGGTCGATAGTAAAATTATTCTGTTTGCCCAGTGTGAGTACCTAGCAGTTTTCTAGTACACAGTCATGGCTGATTTATAATCATGGTTGGTTGGCAGGTCAGGTCGATAGATTATAAAAACAAAAACAAGATCATTGAGGTTAGTATTAGACACAGACCTGTGATGGTTTAAATAAATGTTTTAAGTCTGAAAGAGAGTAGGTAGAAGCTTAATGTTTATCAAGACCTACCCCATTATACAAAAATGAAAAAAAAAATAAAAACTACATTTTGCACTGCCTACATTTTCATTAGCTAATAATAATAACAAGCAATAATAATGGGCAATAGGAAAACAAAGACTCACTGTTCTCCTTTGGTCATTATTATTGTCCATAGTGCTCCTTTCTAACCATGTCAACCTGCTCCTTATTTAACCAAGTCTCTGAGACAGCAGTTTGTGAATTTTGCTCTGAGATGTGGAAGAGAGGTCATAACTTTTGAATGTCCATTAAGATTTCTGCTATTAAATATGTTATCCACTGTAACATTATAGTTACACGGTTCATAAGTGTGATATTTACAAGCCATTTGTGATTATATCACCAGAAAGAAATAAAAAAGGATTAATTGCATTTCCTGATAGCAGAGTGTCAGGGTCATTACTGAGGATGACTCTGATTTCACAGGATCAACAGCAGAATAGAGACTTGTGACCCATCTCTGTAGATGTTGAATTAACTTTTGACCATCTACCAGAACATTTGTAACCTAAAATACCAACCCCAAACCCGGTGCATGATCAGGTATATGTATAATAAGTACAATATATTTCTGCCATGTATTCTTTCTGATCTTTCTACACAGAGTTCTGGCAGGACAAAG